CGCCAGACCAAGTCTGTCTGATCCTCTCCAATCCGACTGGAAGAATCGGCACTCGTGCTTGGTATGTTAATTAGTGGGCAGGAAAAGATTTAATTCGTCCGATCTAGATCTGTCGAATCAAATCTCTACGTATCTGAACTGTACGGATAATCTGCCCGTGTATGGGGCGCTAATGGGCGGGCTTTACAGCTGGTGATTTGTAGGTGTGGGATGGAGCGGCCCACCCAGCTTTGTCAGCAGCGGGCCGTCCTCGCCAGGCCTGTCGGACTCCAACTCGAAGGAGAGCAGCGAGATGTCGTCCAGTATCATCAGTGGCGACGGGTATAAAAAACAATGACCTATAAAGCACCGCTTGCTTGCGCTTGTTGTAGTAGCTGGGGCTGCTTGGGTGGAGCATAACTAGATAGGCTAAACGATGCAATTAGGCGGTTCGATATTTTGAGCTTTTTGCCAGACTGATGCACTGAATCTCTGCATATACGCAAGCTATATTAGTTAAAGTAGGCACTTGAAATGTAGCCATTAAATTCTAAACTGAAGTTTCATATATATTCATTTCCGCCCACTCGCACAAAGTTCCACTTTTCTGTCCCCAACACACAGTGCATGTGCAGCCGCGACCCTGTTCAGACAGAGACATAGAACAAGGCTTATTTATTTATATTTATTATTATATAAGGCATAGGACAGAGATTAGTTGAGAGATCGCCGATCCCGTGTTAAAAAAGTGTACCGAAATCTACCATTGCGCCACTGCGGCGGGCACCCCGAACTATGACTACGTTGAAGCAGCGTAGGCGAGGTAAATAGTGGGGATCGTGCGCATCTTACATTACCGGTTAAGCCTGTCGTGCTTTGCATGAGTTTTCTGACGAGCGCAGTTCGGGCAAAATCGTAAGATTTCGCATATGTGGGTATCGTCACCTGAAACTTTTCTTATTGCACAAATTGTGAATGTTGTGTCAAATAAGCACATTTATTCGCGGTAATTTATTCATCGTAACTATACAACTGTTAATAATAATGGATGATTTTCTTTCGGAAAATAGTTATCTCGCCAGAATTCGATTAAAGTTAAAAAGAAAAAAACTATTGGCTTGTTGATAACGATTGATGATAACGTTGCTATGAACGAAAATAATTTGGAGAATTCCATCAGTTTTCGCTGATATCCCACAAAGACTTTCTTTCATTTATAGACTTATTCGTTTTTCAACATCCATATCAATTTGATGTGTCACAAAAATTTTCGCTTTTCAGTCAGAAACACTTCGAGCCTGCGAACAAATCCCCATTTACATCCCATAGTTCAAATACTTTTTAGATATTTTTGTCCTCTTTATAACATTTTGAACTAGTTTTTGCCCAAAAATGTGATTTCTGTTCTCTTGGCAACTGAAAATTTTAGACATTTATTAAGTTTTTCATTAACAAAACATTCGTCAGGACTAAATTTTGTTAAAAACTCGCTTTTTCTTTTAGGTGAGATTTTTTATGATCGCAATTTGGACGAACCCGCTTCCAAAAGACGACAGGGCCTAAAACTTTGCCCATTTCGGTCAGTGAAAAAATATAAAACGCTTGACAGTTAATTTATTATAAAAACACATTACCACTTACTACGACTGTTGCAGTTAATGTCTGAAATTGATAAATAGCAAGAAAACAGAAATCATTTTTTAGCGCAAAAACTATGAATGCTAAAAGATTTTATAGAGCCCAAAAATGTTTCAAACGAATTAGTGCATTAACTCAAAAAATCAATGGATTGAGGTTCAAAAGCCGTAAGAAATATCGAGAAAAACAAGGTATACCTGCTTTGAAGAAAGAAATGGGTCTATCGAACTGCTTGATCATATCCCTAATTTTGGCAACACCGTTAAATTTGTACTCATTACAAAAGTTAGTTTTGACCGTACCTCTACAATAA